ACAAGTTTACACTGGTTGGACTTTGACAACAAATCCAAAAATACAATTAAGGTTCGCAGCATTGGGCATGGAAAACTTCAGCTTCAGGATGTGTATGTGCCCTTTGATTGTGCTACGAGCAAGGGTGTGCTGTATGCCACTGAGATTTTCCCGTTGTTCGCTGTGCTGACTGCATGTATATCGTTCATTGTGTTGCTGCCTGTCACCATCAAGGTTGCAGTGATATCCGGAAATGGTTTCGAACATGTTCTCGACGCCTTTGTTTGCCCAACATGCTTTGATTTAGCCCCACTCTTTGTCTAACATGTACCCCTGCAAGAGTGATTTAGCTGCTATATACTGTTTTTTGCTACATACTATATGCTTTGTCTAGGTCACCGCTCTGTATGTCCTCCTTCCGATGGCAGTTGCAGCCGCGGTGCTTCACTTGCCGGTGGCGTGTCTTGTTGGCTGGTTCTATCGCAGGACACCATTTTCGGCACTTTTGGGTGAATACCACAAGCATATCCGATGCACACCACATATGGGCCCGGATGCCACTCATCCTCGCAATCAGGGCTTGATGGTCCTTACCTTGCAGGATTTGCGGAAACACTTCGAACGCTTCTCCATTCTCACAAATGAAGTTGTTTTTTGTGTGTTTGGTTTGTTTGTGATATTTTTATGTCGTACTATGTACCATCACGTGCCCTATCACACCCATTTCATGCTGGAGACGTTCCAAGTGAGGTTTCATCCTTGAGCGGAACATGCACTTCGTCGTCGCCAACATCGTAAGGCCTTTGACGTGCAACAAACGGGTGTCCTTTGTGACGCTGTGGGGTGGCAGGCAAGTGGACTACTTTGTGTCCCTTGGACATGTCAGTAGCAGCGGTGATGAAACGAATTTGTTTTGGATGTTTGCGCGCAACGATGTATTATATACTTTTATGTACACTGCACACTGTATGCTATATATATGAGTATATTGTTGATAGTGAAGCTGTCAATGTATTTTAAAAC